GGCCCACAGCAAGACACATCATAATTAAAATGCCAAAGGTTAAAGACAAAGAGAGAAGCTTAAAAGCAAGAGAAAGCAATTTATAAGGGAGCACCCATACGACTGCCAGCTGATTTCTCAACAGAAACTTTGCAGGCCAGAAGGGAGTGGCAAGAAATATTCAAAGTGATGAAAAACAAGGACCTACAATCAAGGTTGCTCTACCCAGCAAAGCTATCATTTAGAACTGAAGGTCAGATAAAGGACTTCACAGATAAAAGCTAAAGGAGTTCATCACCACCATACCAGTACTCCATGAAATGTTGAAGGGTCTTCTTTAAGAAGCAGCTAATGAACAAAAGAACCTGACAAACGAAATAGACCCAGAGACACTGACACATGAAACAGATGAACATATTTCAGAGGAAGGAGGGAAGGGGGGTGGAGGGTGGAAAGAGATTAACCAAAGAAGTTATATGCACATATGCATAACCCATGGTCAGTCAATAACGGGGTGAACACCTGGGGAGGGGCTGGGAACGAGAAGGAGGGGGTGAACTGGGGGGGAAAAAATGGGACACCTGTAATACTTTCAACAATAAGGGTAAATTTTAAAAATAATAAAAATAATTTTAGCCCTGCCGTGAATGGCTCAGCAGTTGAGCATCGTCCTAGGAAACATCACAGTTCGATTCCCGGTCAGGGCACGTGTAAAGGTTGCAGGCTCGATCACGATCCCTGGTTGAGGTTGTGCAGGAGGCAGCCAGTCAATGACTCTCATGATTGATGCTCCTATCTCTCTCTCTCTCTCTCTCCCCCTCCTCTCTCTGAAATCAATAAAAATATATTTAAAAAAATAATAATAATTTTTTTAAAAAAAGCCGACTGACATAAACTTTCTAGGTTGAGACCAAAGGGAAAGACGTATTCCCAAAGAAGTATTTAACACTTAAGCTTCCACTCAGCAATCCCACTTATAAAGGACTCTATATCAAAGAGTATTTATACCAAAGAATTACTAACAACATTATGAAAATTTTTTTTTACTATTTATTGCAGTGGCATCTGTAAAGGTAAATACTGAAGCAACTGACTGGATAAACTAAAATAAATCATCATGACCTTGAATTAGGCAAAGAGCTCTTAAGTAAAACACCAAAAGCATAAGCAATGAAAGAAAAAGTTGCAAAACTGGATGGTATCAAAATTAAAAATTTTTTCACTTCAAAATATTCTTTCAAGAAGAAAAAAATATATACAAGCCACCAAATATACTACGAAGTAGAAATTGACAATACAAGCCACAGACTTGAAAAAATTTCAAATTATGAATCTGATAAGTTATTATAACCAGAATATACTATAAAGAATTTACAATGCAAAGAACTTACAAATTAAAAAATTTTTTAATTGATTTTAGAGAGAGACAAAAGGACGGGGGGAGAGAGAAACATTGATTTGTTGTTCCACTTATTTTGCATTTCTACAACGCATTAATTTAAAAAAAAAATTTTTTTTAATGAGCAAAGGGTTTAGATAGGCATTTCACCAAAGAATATATACAAATAGCTAATATGTTCATAAAAAGATGCTCAACATCATCAGTCATTAGGAAAATACAAATGAAAAACATAGTAAGATGCTAGTTCACATCTAGTAGGATGGCTACACTAAAAAACTGAACAATTACAAGTGTTGATGAGGATATGAAGAAATTGGAATCATTGCTGGTGAAACTATAGGGTGGTACAGCTGCTGTGGAAAACAGTTTCTAAAAATTTTAAACATATATTTATTCTACAACCCAGAAATTCCATTCCTGGTTATCTACCTAAGAGAAATAAAAATATTTGTCCACACAAAAACTTGTTCACAGATGTTCACAGCAGCATTATTCACAATAGCCAAAAAGTGGAAACAACTAAAGTGCCCATCAACTGATAGTATATCCATACACTGGAAAATTATTAAAGAGTAAAAAGGCAATCAGAGAAAGACAAATATCACGTGATCTCACTCATATGTGGAATATAATGAACAAAATAAACTGATGAACAAAATAGATCCAGAGACACAGAAGTATAGAACAGACTGAGGGATCTGAGAGGGAAGGTGGGGATGGGGGAGTAGGTGGGGACAGATTAATCAAAGAACTTATATGCATAACCTATGGAGGTGAGATTGATGCAGGGTGGAGGGGATCAATGGGGGGAAATGGGACATCGGTAATACTTTCAACAATAAAGATAATTTTTTTTTTTTAAAAAAAACAGTAAAAAGGAACAAAGCATTAATACATGCTACAAATGGATCAACTCTGAAAACATATTCTACATGAAAGAAAACAGTTACAAAAGACCACATGCTAAACAATTTCATTTATATGAAATATCTTGAAAATACAAATACGTACAGACAGAAGGTAGATTAGTACTTGCCAGGGGTTGGGCATGAGGTTTCATTATAGAGAGATAGGCATGTCCTAAAATAAGACTGTGGTTACGGTTGCACAACTCTGGAAATTTACTAAAAGTCACTGGATTTAATACTTAAAACAGTTGAGTTTTATGGTATGTAAATTATATTCTAATAAACTTTTTTTAAAAAGATAAGCCACGGACTAGAGAAGACATTTTCAATACATCAAAAATTTTTACTAAAATATGTTGTTAAAATTTCAACAAATCAAAAACAGAGATAAACTAAGCAACAGAAATATAAAACCCATCTTGAAAATCTGAAATGGCAATTCATATAAAGAAATCCCACTGGTCAATAAATATGTACATAAAAGTATGCACGATGTAGACAATTAACCTGCCCAAGTAATATTATGCATTGCTTAAACTAAGAAAATAGATGGTCACTGCTGTGCACAATTCTTCATTTAGGTAGATCTTTCTTTTTAAAAAGGGTTAGGTTACATTGTCCCCAGAGCTCAATTATAGTCAGACTATACCAAGAAAAATTTCCATTATAACTTTCCCATTATGCCTTGCCTTTTTAGCCTGATAATCATACTGCTGCCATTTGGTCTTGCTTGCTTTTAAATTCTCACACTTAAACGCCCTGCCCAATGTGGCTCAGTTGGTTGAGCCTTGTCCCATGCACCAAGTCGCTGGTTTGATTCTCAGTCAGGGCACAAGCCCAGGTTTCAGGCTCCATCCCCAGTAGGGGTGTGCAGGAGGCAGCCGATCTCTTCCCCTCCCTCTCTCTGCCCTCCCTCCCTCTCCCTTTCTTTTTCTCTGAAATCAATAAAACTTTTTTTTAATTATAAATTCCGACCCTTAGGATCATCTTTGGCCAATAGATTGTGTCAGAGTAATCTAATTCTTTTAATAAAATACAAGATGATTTATACAAAATAGCAAAAAGAACACTCATTTTTCCTTTCCCAATCCCTTTCCTAAAAGTATTATTTTAAAGTAATTAAAAATATTACTTCACAAGTAAAAGAGCTCCCCCGCCCCCCCCCAAAGAAAAAAACAGAGCAAAATAGGCATGCAAATGTACACTAACCTTCCAGTAGTCAGATTGTAAACTGTAGTACC